GAGCAACCAAATTCTTATTAATTAAAATATTGAAATTCTCAAGCGCCACTCATTGTAAACGGTAGGATACAACCAAACTAGGCAGAGCTGAGCTGGCCGGAATTTATTATGAGATAAGCAGCCAAACGATTGGTACTTTTCGAAGCTCCAACTTCAGTGTTTTGGCTCAATCTGCCCGGAATGGTGGTTGTCAGGAAAAGCCTCAAAGTCCCGAATTCCTAAATTCAACTTGTGTATTCAACCCACCTTGCGTCTGCTTGTAGTCTTTCTCCAGACTCATCAGTCTCTCCTCGGTCTCGGCTCGCGTAGCTTTCAGGGAGGATAACTCCTTGTGTTGAGCAGAACTTTTGGTCCGAAGGGTCATCTCCTCGGCCTGACTTTCATCCAGCAAGTTCTGTACCTCATTCAGCCGAGCCTGTGTTGATTTTAGCTCCTGACTGAGCTCGATCAATTCTGAATTCGTCTGAAAAAAGGTTAAAAAGGGCAGCGAAAACTCATAAAACAGCTCCTAAACCCATTGTTTGTCGGTGAATTTGCCTGCCCAATTCTCAACTGATAAGATCCTACTCATGTGACATAAAAAACTGAGGGTTAAGGTTTAGGAAGCTGATTTTTTTAACTCAAAATTAACTTCTGACCGCAGCCTTTCGTCATCCACGCATCCGGCATCACTTTATCATAACAACGGAGCCTTCCTTGTGTCACTTAGGTTGATTTAAGGAGATTTTTCCACAATTATAGGGATATCTTTATACTGCTATTGGATTTCACTTAACCTGACATGGGTCGCGTTAGCATTCCAAATGGGATTTGAATACGAATCGTGTGCGTCAAGTTAAGTCGAGCCTGCCCCACATTTACGGGTCATACTGGGGCTTAGGACAAATATCACCTTCGAGGCAGGCCAGGCAGCTGTCAAATAACATTTTGTATTGTGATTGTCGATAAGGAGAGGACAGTACTTGGTCAAGAGCAAATGCATCGGCGTCGAGTGTAATATTAATTGCAAATTTGCCATATGGACAAAGTAAAATTAGGATTAGGAGAGGGCAAATTCTAATTAAAAGTCTCTTTGGCCCTATGAACCACTGGCTACAGTGTCTGTATGGTGGCGTGGTAAAAGGTGACCACCTTAGTCAAATGAGATTGGCTCAAATAAAATTATGAGAGCTGATGAGATCCAAACGACATCGAAATGTGAGTTCAACTTTGATGATACAGTCTTTTTCGGAGTCAAGGCTTATTGAACTTCAAACATTTCACTCTGGGAAATTTCAACCACTTCATATTGTGCGAAATAAGATACAGAGGATGTGTTCACCCTATTTCGTCTAAGCTGATGATGGGCTGGTAGTTGAATTTTCCCACAATCATATGAGTAGAGCTGACGTTACCATTGACTGCAGTATCGACATCGCCTAGGTCTTATCAACACACCCATCGGGGGGCGAACCA